TTCATATGAGGTTCCTCAACCCTTTTCTCTCCTAGGATGGGGACAGATGGAAGGCACTGTTTTATTGGCACTCCTAGAGATAAAACAGTGTCAGTGACACACAAGGATATTAAAGATGGCAACTAATTGTGTAACTTTGCCCAAATCATAGTCTCCGGGGCTTCATTTACTCATATTTTAAATGAGGATGATGTAGTTTTTATACCAGGTCTGTCTTAGCCTGTTTGAGCTGCTATAACGAAATACCACAGCCTGGGTGGCTTAAACAACAAACATTTATTTCTTACAGTTCCGAAGGCTGTGGGAAGTCCAAAGTCAAGGTGCTGGCACATTCAGTCTGGTGAGGGCTCTCTTCTTGGTTTGCAGACAGCCATCTTCTCGTTACATTGTCACATGGCCTTTCCTTGGTGCACACACACACACACACACACGCACACACACACACACACACACAGAGAAAACTTATGTCTCTCCCAATTTTTATAAGGGCATTAACCACCCTCATGAATTACCTCTTACCTCCAAATACCATCATGTTGCAGATTGGGGCTTCAACAAATGAATTTGGGGGAGATACAAACATTCAGTCCATAGCAATATCTCTTTCAGTTGGTCATTCTATGACTAGGAGAGGCTGCCATTCCCTGGATGTTTAGAATGAATAGCACTGTAGCACTCAAGGTTTACATATAGACAAATTTTGGGCTTCCTTCTCAGAGCTGATATCTTCATAATGTTGGACAATTGGCTAAATCTCTCTAGGTCTCAATTTCCTTAACTATGAAACTATTCAATAATATATATTTGTAGAGTCGCAGTCAAGATTAAATGAAAATTGTGCATGTAAAAGCACTTGGCACAGAACAGATCCTTGATAACAATTTAGTTTTTAAATTATGAAAAATGACCAAATCTATTCAAACAAAAGCTGAAACAAGCAACACAAGAAGTGAAATGGTTAGACTGGTGGTTTGGTAGTTAATATCAACATTTGTTTGTATTTGAACATAAATTTTGCAAGTCTCTGTTAATTGTAACACACCATTTGTCTATATTGAAATAAACATAGACAAATGGTGAGTGTGCGCACACATGCACATGCGTGAGTCTGTGTACCTTGAGAGTCTTCCCATTATTTCATGGGTAGTTAGCCCATTTTCTACTACCTTGTAAGAATTTCAACTAACACACCATTTCCAAATTTGGGATATATTTTACTTACATAAACACTGTGCTCTTACTTCAATGAAACCAAAAAATACTTAAACCTGCTCTGTCGTTAAAGATTATTCCCTAACAAAAATGTTCCTTTGCACATCAATAAGGGAATGCTCAAATTAATGTTACTGGCAAGAAAATGATAAGAAACAACCAACTGCACACACAGGGACACCTACACACACACGGTCCTCAAGTTTCAAAACCCCAAGTTCCCATGAATCACACCTTGTTGACACCTTTGCCATTAATAATGTAGCAAGTAACATTTAATATTTACATTTTATAGAAATTATAATTGCTTTTCCCTTCAGAGTTAGTGACTCAGATGAAGCAAATCCAAGCCTGTCTTCCTATGACCTGAAATGTCAAGGTGACAGATTCATTTTAAGGCTTAACTTGAGGTATTACACAGAGAGTGAAGGCTACTCCAGGATGTGAACTGATCAGATATGAAACAAGAGGGGACCTATCATCAGTAAGACAGGAGGGCAGTACGATTTTTAATAGCCAGATTCTCAACACATTGTACTAGAGTTAAATGAATCCTTACCTCTGGATTTCAATGATCACAGTAGTCAAGTCTTCTCATAACCACTAGTACAAATGGCATTTGCCACTGCCCCAGAAAAATCTTAAGGAAAAGGGGAAAAGTTTACATTACAAAGGAGGGTGAGATGGGGTTCCTCCTATTTCAGTAAAATTTAAGCCTCTAGAGGATGAGGAGTAATTCCAAACTTTCACGGGGAATAAAGCAAAGTCTAAATGTCACTCATAACCTGAATGCAATGAAGAAGCAGCACATGGAGCTGGAAATTCAGGAGGACTATGTCTTCATGAGAACTTCAAGTAGTTCTCTTTCTTTAAATTTAGTTCAAAATGGACTATAAAGACCTATGGGATTTATTTCTACACGTTGGGTAGATTTATGTATAATATTTAGAAAAGTGCTACCAGGAATATATTCCCAGAAAATGACCTTCAGCTTGAGTAAATGATCTGATTTCTGGCCTTTCAAAGGAAATCACTAAAAAAAAAAGAAGAGGATCCTGTGAAACAAGTGGTTTCCCCTGGTGAAGTCAGCCCCCCATCACTGCACTTAACAAGAATGAACCTGTTGCAGACTGTAATGGTCTTATGATTAGTGTGAATGAATGCTTCTCACCACATAGATTCACTATTGATTTTTTAATCAATAATAATGTCTTGTATTTAGATAGTTACCATCTCCAAAGAAATCTGAGTGCTTTATAGTTCATGAATTCCAATTTATCTTCATACTATCCCACTGAATGTATAGATTAGGCATTCCAATTGCATTTTAAGGAGGAAAAACAGAACCAGAAAAGTTAAATCATTAGCCAGGGAGATTTCAAAAAGCTAATATTAGAATTACCAATTAAATTCTGGTAGTCTTGACTTATAATTCTGACTGTTTCCCCAAAACATCTGGTCAGTTGGGTCAACTCTGATTATTCTTTAGGAAAAAGGAATCAAACCATTGAATTCCTATGATTAACAGAAGTTTACATTACTTCGCATTATTTTGGTGATGTACAATAATTGGGCTTAAGACGTTTTTATTTATTAGAGCATATGCATTTTTTAGTGGCCTATGTTAGTATCTTTGGAATGCTCTTAAGTCACGTGTGCCAGAAGTTTATCTCCTGGTAAGGGATAGATGTAAAATTTAAATTCTCATATTAGGTAGGTGTGATTTTTCAAAGACTTGGTATCTCCATCACCTCTGTGGCATTGTTTTAATTGACAAAAAAAAAAAAAAAAAGAAAGAATCTCCTCAATAAAAACTTGTTCAAAACCCGTACTCATTATACCTCTGGGAAGGTTACTATTATCCTTTCAGTCACCCAGTCTTCTAGCCTTAAAAATGTGAGCCTCTGATTTTTTTTTTTCCCCTTCTTGCATTTACAATTTCTGTCAGTTTTTCCTCTGACAAGTTTATTGCTTTGTTTCTCTGTGTTCTCCTTACTGCTAACGCTCTGCTCCTCACATATAACGTGGTAACCTCCTTACTTGTCTCCCCTACTTCTGTTGTCTCTTCTTCAACCCATCTTAGGTCAACTTTCCTAATAAATTTTCCATAACTTTTGAAATTATGAATTATTTGGGTACATGAAAAGTATATAGAATAACACGTTAAACATTCATATCCCCACCACCCAGCTTAAAAAAAACGCGATATTAAAGGCACAATAGAAAGCCCTCTTTGAAGCCTCTCTCCAATTTCACCCCCCCTCACTATCATGAATTTAATGGTTATTATTCCCATGCACGTTTTAACATTTTAACCATATGTATCTGTATCCATAAAAATTTATAGTATTTCTTCACTCCAATCATTTATACTTCTGAAATTTTCATTTGTTATGTGGCTTTGAGATTTCCACTCTTATTTTAAGATTTATCCGTGTTAGTGCATGTGACTTTGTTCCCTTCTCTTTCGTTGCTATAGTCCTTTGGATCCACCCAGGACAATTTGTCCATTCTTCTCAGGATGGACATTGAGATTGTTTGCGTTTTTTTTTCTCAAACAAATATGTAATAAACATTTTTGAACATGCTTCCTTTTTCATATTTATGAGAGCTTCTCTAGGACATACTCCCAAGATTCTAAATGCTAGGAGGTGGTAAGATCTTCTCAGTTTCAAATTTTGGTTAAAAGTGATTGTGTCAAAACTGACACATCCTCCTTACGTGCCATATTCCATTAAGAAAGACTTCATTGGCTTCTCCTCCAACTTTCAATGGAATTGCAAATTCCTCTGAGAGAAGCTCCTCCTCACTTTTCTACCTGAAGGGACCTCCCCACCAGGAACTCCTTTTTGTATTAGGTCACAGATTCAAAAGCTTTTGGACTACATATTGAAATATAAATGTGTGAAAAATGCAGGGTATGGTGGGATCTGCAGTGGATGGTGGAGATGGAGCCATGCGACAGGGCACCATATCCAACTTACGGTTGGCTAGTTTGTAGTCCCCAAGGTTCCCGTATTATTTTGTTTACTTTCCTGAAAGTTCGTCTCAGAAATGTGGAATCATCAATTCCCTGTATAGCAGCAAAGAGCCCTCTGGAGCCCGCCTGCCTGGGTTTGAATCCCTGTTCCACTGCTGCCACCTGTCTGCTCTTGAGCAACTTCTTGTTTGTAAAATGGGGGACATGCTAGTGCTTACTTTGTAAGGGGGTGGTGAGAAATAAATGAGATAATATACATAAATCTCTCAAGTAGGCACTTAATAAATATTTGTTGAATTGTTGAGGAGAGGAAAAATAACAAAAGGTTCGATCGTATCTCCTGTGTGTCAGACATTGTTCTAGAAGCTGGGGAGGTGGCAGTGACCTTGATATTTGTCTCTTTCACAAATCAAGTTGCCAACTGGGACCAAGTCTCTAACACATTGCTTGGCTCACAGTGGGCACTCAAGAAAGAGATGGTGAATGAAGAAACGAACCTAATGGTTCTCCTAAGGCAACGTAAATGCCTAAGGATGTTCTGAGCCATAATGGAGCAAGTAATTTATACCCATGATGACTTTACTGTCTGCATGGCAGTGGATTCTTATTTTTGAATATTGACAACTCCTATGTAATACAGGTAATAATAGCTTGCCATTAGACATAGTGTTTGAGCAGTCAGAATACCACGTTTTTGATGATGATGCGTAACAGAGAATAGACTATATCTTTAATCTTACTTGTATACAAAATAACATTCTCAACTTTTGATGATGACCAGTCTTTTTCATTTTTCCCTCAAATTTAGGTCTCATTGTCCATGAAGGAGCTGCAGTTTACAGAGTGTTTAAACGCTGGCGAGCTGTCAACTTACACTGGGATGTATTAAATTATGACAAAGCCACAGACATCGAAGAAAGTAGCCGGGGAGAGTCTTCCACAAGCAGAACTTTATGGTTGCCATTGACGGCTCTACGAAACAGGAACTTGGTCCACCCAACACAGTTGACCTCCCCAAGGTTTCAGTGTGGCTACATGTTATTACATCTGTTCAATCGGATGAGGCCCCATGAAGATTTGTCAGAAGATAACAGCTCGGGGGAGGTTGTGATGAGAGTGACTTCAGTGTGACAAAGCTAAGAAGGCGCGATGTGGACCACCCTGCACATTTTGGAATGTAATTGCAGTGAATGGCAAAACCATAGCACTTCTAAAAACACACATCTATGAACTTTTTAAAATTTATGCTTTTTATATGAACATTTGAATTGCAAATACATTTTTCTGAAAAAAAAGAGTCCTCCTGTTCTTTGCTTTCTGATTTATCACATCTTTTATAAGTTGGTACTTGAAATCATTATACATATTATTTAACGCTACTTGGTTAAAAGAATGGTGAACATTATCCTTAAGGTCAAAACTATTTTTTTCTTGCTTGTTTTAAATATATTTTTATCAAACGTTTTGCTCCATGTGTAATTTTTCAGGCATGCTACCAATGGGGAAGAGTTTAGAATGCTGTGGGCAAATTCCAAAGTGCCCATCAAGGGCGAAGCACAGAGGTGATTCTGTGATGCACTGGTCTTCCTCATGCCTCAGGCTGGTTGGCACACTTGAGCATGACTTTTTGTGTAGGATGAATTAACCTGTCACCAGGAATGCAAGTTCTAGGAATTACGGCTTGTTTTCTAACTTCTGAAACAGTACAGAGAGCTTGTAAAAAGATAAAGATAATTGGAATAAAATAGTCTTACAGGCATACTTTGAAGATATTGTGGGTTCAGTTCCAGACCCGCAATAAAGTGAGTATCTCAATAAAGCAAACCACTCAAATTTTTTGGCTTCCCAGAGCATATAAAAGTTACGTTTACACTATACTTCAGTCTATTAAGTGTGCAATAGCATTAATTCTTAAAAAAAATGTACATACCTTAATTTAAAAATCTAAAATATGCTAGCCATCATCTGAACCTTCAAGTTGTAATAGTAACATCAAAGATCACTGATCCCAGGTCACATAACAAGTATAATAATGGAAAAATTTGAAATATTGTGAGAATTACCAAAATGTGACACAGACACATGAAGTGAGCAAATGCTATTGGAAAAATGGTGCCAATAGACTTGCTTGACACAGGGTTGCCCTAAACCTTCAATCTGTAAAAAAACGCAATGTCTGCGAAGCACGATAAAAAAAAAAGAAGAAAGAAAGAAATGAAGCGCAATAAAACAAGGTGTGCCTGTCCTGCAGTACATATTACACAGACAGGGCACCCTGCATACTTATAACCCTGAAAGCTCACCAAAATGTTGCACCATTGCACGTGTAATAATAACACTGCCTCACATTTGCATAGCCCTCTCATAGACCAGCCACAATTATTTTTGTTAATTATTCGTGTCTTGATTTCTATGAGTACCATCTTAATTAGATTTTCTTTTTGTGAAAGCTTATATACCTACTTAATCATCTAAACACTGATTCTATTACTTGGTTTAATGAAGCAATATTCTCCAGCAGCGAGAAGTGTTTCTCTTTGACTAGATAAGTATTTTTCAAATGAAAAGAGGAAAAGAAAAATGAGGCTATTGACTCCCCATGAACAGGTTGCTAAATAGTGATACCTGGGAATTTTGCACCTTTTTCTCCTTCTAATGGAGGTAAATGACATATTTTAATGGGTAGCAACAGAATAGATGAGGCAGGAGGTCATGCTTTCCTTAGAAACAGAAGTTGGACATGTAGGTCATTTGAAGTAATTGATGATTAGATTTTAAAGCATATGAAATAAAATGCTTTACATTCTATTAATATTTTCTAAAAAATAACCTTTTAATGATTCATAATAGAATAGTTAACATTTACAGGTAGCATTGTGATTCCTACATAGCAAATTCTACCAACACTTGAAATAATATTTTCCCAGTTAAAAAAGTGTGTCACAAAAGAATTAAAGATGTGACCATTTGCAGAAATATGAAGAATCAGTAAGTAACGAAAGAAGGAAAATTCAACCACTCTTTCGGGGCATATATAGGAAATGAGAGGGTTGTTGATTGTTTGATGTCACGTGAGCACAGTCCTGGGTGAGGCACTGAGAGGTGGAGATCAGTCCTATCAACCTGGTCTCTGCCCTGAGTTTAGCCACCTGGGACAGGAAGGCAGACTGTTTAATAGAGAAGCCAGGGATGCAGACCTGCTGTCAAAGCAGCAATCCATTATTTGTGCCCCGCAGGTGTGGGTGCTTGCCCTGGACACTTTAATCACTAAGGGAAGTCATCAATGGCACCACATTTAATGGAGAATAATTGTGGGTACTGTTGTTTAGAGCATTGTGTTAAAAATACCAGATAAAGAGACTTTAGACACAGATTAGACTATCACTGCTCCAGTATTTAGCAAGCGTACACGTTTGTATTCTAACTAGTATGCACCTTTGTATTCATATCAACTCACTCAAAAGCAAGGAGGGACAGAGGATGGGAAACCCTCTCTCTGTAACCCCTGTATGGGGTGCACAAGGCAGAGACACCTGGAGATGAGATGCACAGCGGGTTTATCAGCCTGAAAGGAACGTGTGCCCTGAGCTTCCCCTCCTTCCCAGGGCCCTGCCCTTTGGATGCCCCTTTTGTCTACACCCATTTTCTTCCTTCACCATCTTCACAGGCCCCAGCTCCTAACACGCCCCCACACACTCACACACCCATATGTGACACAAATCAATATTGGAATAAGGATCTGGCAGAATTTCCACTCAAAATGTACAATCCATGATATGATTACATAGAGACTCCAGCACTGGGTGAAGGGTGGGATGGGTGCATTTAGAGAATTGAATTCACTGCTTAAAAATAAAAATTCTAGGGACTTCCCTGATGGTCCAGTGATTAAGGCTCTATGCTTCCACTACAAGGGGCGTGGTTTCCATCCCTGGTTGGGGAACTAAGATCCCACATGCCATGCGGGAGTGTGGGCAGGGGACCAATAAATAAATAAAATTCTAATATGCCGTATGAGATATGATATAAACAATTAAATTTCAATTGTGAATGCTGTAATTCAAACTCAGCCTGTCTTAAATCGCAAAACCATTCGTGGTAAAAAAAAAAAATTAGTTGGAAATACTTTAAAAATCTTTTCAAATATATAGAAACTTAGACCTGTATCCAGTCTGTCTCTTTTCAACCACTAATCTACAGAACAAACATTGATGGGGTACCTGCTGTGTGCCAGACACTGTGAGCTGTGGCCACGGAATGACCCAGCTTCACAGGGAGACTCAGAGTGGGTGAAGTGCCGCCCAGCATGGTAAGTGTCAGGTCACAGGTGAGTGGAGGGCAGTGACAGTCCACGGGAGCAGTCAGGTTGCCCTGAGGCAACTGGAGAAGGCATCACTGAGGAGCTGGCGGGACCCGGGTGCTGATGCACGAGTAAAAGTTTGCCAGAGGCAACTGGAGAAGGCATCACTGAGGAGCTGGTGGGACCTGGGCGTTGATGCATGAGTAGAAGTTTGCCAATCAGGTAAGTGGAGAAGAACATTCTGGGAAGAGCTTGGGGGTAAAAGAGAGACGTGTCCCGGTAATTGTGGGAGATTTCATGTGGGAGAGCATAGCGCACATCTGAAGACATGACACAGCCCTATGGGGTTGGCTCGGTAGCTGGGACTGAAGCCCACAGGGACCCATGAGAAGATGGTGCTCAAGAAACAGATGGTAAGGGTTGGCAAGGTCATCTCTGGGGGATGGATGTCCTCTCTTGACCTTATACCTATGGGTAACACTCCCAGTTCTCAAGGTCAGGGGTAAAATGTAATGAATTGTGACCCTATCCTCAAAAGCGTTTGAAGACATCCTACAAAATGAAATAGTAGGCAGCAGTCACATGCAAGCACTATTGCAATAAATTAGCTAAAAGAGTAGAAATATTGGAGCATCAAACGGCTTTCCTCTCTCCCAGAAGACAGCAAAACCCTTAATTCAGAAGAGGAAAGCATATCGTAGCTCTTGTGAGGTAGAATATAGTTTCTCCGTTATTGAAAGTACTTCCAAATATTTCCCAGAGTAAATAAATTTTATCATCTGATTTTTCTTAAACATCATTTAAAAATGTTTGAATGCTATATGTTCAGCTAACAATATGCCAAAATAAAGCACGCTCTCGCTCTTGCTTTTGTTTCCATCTGGGTCTGCTATTCTTTTCCTTATTTTCCCATAGACTAGCAATGTTAACATAGCCTATTACGTTTGATTCTCAGTCCTTCTTTATCTATGGAGTTAAATCGCAAAATTGATTTGTCTTTGCTAATCCAGAATTTGATTTGTTGTCATCTAGCAATTGATGTTTATTTTAAACAGAGGTCACTATTTGTCCATATTTTCCTTTAAGACTTATTTTTTTTTTACTTACACATTTTAATGACAGTAGATTGCAAATATCGGATATTCTATCATTTTCTTTCCAAGATCATCCTTTATCAAACTTCAGTGGTGAAATCTGGTTTTTATTTTCAATATATATGTTTGTATAAATGATGTAACTCATAAATTTATGTTCTGTATATTTAGAAATAATTGGTTAAAGATCTTAAGAAGATACTTCACACAACTAGTTTAGTTCCAGTTTATCAGTTCAGAAAAAAATGTTCCCATCATGTGTGTGGTACAGAACTGCAACAGGTACCATAATTTATAGCAAAGCTCAAAGTTCCAGGCCTCAGTGGAATCTACAGAATTACTCACCATCTTCATAAAGTTGCTATTTTATACACAGTGATTTTATCTAGTAAATTAGTCAAAGACTAATAAACAAAGTTATTTTAAGGGATTTTCCCCTGGGAGCCCGTGGGAGAATGAAAACAATGCATGATCTCCCATAAAATTTTGAAGGTGTATTATATTTTTTAATAAACCTTACCCCAAAGCATTTCACAGTGATTTTCCAAGACAAGTTAGCAGTCCCTTAGTTTTCTTGAAACTTTTTCATATTTTTGAGACATTTTTCAGGGCTTTAAGGGAAAATTATCTTTTTCTAGTGCTACAAGAAGAAAAAAGAGGTTTGCTCTCAGATGCACAGGCAATGAAGCCTAATGTATGTAGGTGGGTAATGGTGACCTAGGCATTTTATATCCTGTCTTATGGAGCCATCAAGCAGGAACATTCATCCTGACTGCTGGACCACAGAAGGACGTCACCCATGGGTGAGTAACCAAGGGAGAAATATCTTCTGACAGTGCCACCTTTACCTCCTCGTCACAGCTGTACAGGGGCTTTGGGAATACAGGAGATCTG